AAGCCTGGCTCTTATTCTTGAACCCAGCTGCTGGGTTCGATGGAACCCAAATTGGTTTCTTTCTGGGCATTCTGGCGTTTGGCTTTGCTTGAATCAGAGGAGGAAAGTTGTTTAAGAGAGGGAAGAAAGGAAGCGAGAAGAAGAAGAAGAACCAACGGCAAAAACAGAGATGGAGTCGTGCAATTCTTATGATGAATTTGAGAAGCTCGTTATAAAGTAGAGCACTCCCAAGTTTGTTCTTCCTTCTCCCTCAAACCCTTTTTGGGATTTTCAGTACTGCTCCTTCAACCAAACATGTATTAGTTTGTTTGGTTCCCCATGTGTTATCTTGTTGATTTTGTTCATTATTTCGAGCTTTTCTAAGTTTCTGTTTTCTCTTTAATCCTTCTTCCTTGTAGTTTGTTTTAATTTTGTAAGGTTTTTGTCTGCAATTTTGAGTTTTTGATTTAAGCAATGTGTTGTTTAATTCTTTCAATGTTGGGATCATAGCAGTTAAATTCATCGATCTCTCCATGATCTCCACCCTTTTTGTATTTTTTAAAGAATTTTTGAATTTAAGAACTCAGGGGAAGAATCAGATCTCCTCATATTAATTACTATAATGGATTTTCTGTCCATTAAATCAACTTTTCCTTTGTTTTAAGCATTTTACTTAACCGGAACGAATTCGATTTGAATTTTCTAGGACAATCGTCGACATTAAATTAAAAAAAGTAAAAAACCTTTCTTAAATTTTTTATATATTTTTTTAAATTTTGATTTTCCGTAACTTTGGAATGATTTCTTCCCCATTTTGGTTACGTTTACATACTAAATTTTAGAAATGTCTCCTGTGCCTATTTTCCCAAAAAAAAGAAAAAGAAAAAAAAAAGGGGAATTTAGAAATTTCTCTTGAATTGACTCTTTACCGAACCCAGTAGCTGGGTTCAATGAAGCCCAACAGATCTGGGTTTGGTGGTTGCATTTGGAAAGAGCAAGAAAGAGAAAGAAAGAGGGGGAAGAAGATGGATTGGGAGGGAGAGGGTAATAATATAATTTTGTTGTTTTTTTTATTTTTTTATTAAAAATATAAATATTTATATGATATGATGTAATCCAATTACAAGACATGTCATTGTCACCTCATCAAAAGAATTTAAAAAAATACCATTATGAAATTATTTAGCGGTTATGTTATACTTAACTAAGGGATGGATTAAAATTTTGTAATGTTTAGAATTAAAAGATAAAAAAAGAGTAAAAAATAGTTGAAGGATGAAAATTGCGTAACATTATAAAGTTGAGAAATAAAATTAACATTTAACCAAGTAGAATATATGTCTGGAGGTTTGAAACTTTGAAACAAAGTTGTCAATATTATACAGGTGTAAGTATCGATTTTTTTTTATTAAAATAGTATATATTAGATATTGAAATTTTT